TCCAGCGAATATACTTTTTTTCCTATATTTCACATTAAACTCATCAAAATCAGTAAAAATAAATTCCATAAAAAACAACCAAAAAGCCTTTTCAGCGAAAATTAATTCCAGCGAAAATAAAGTATTTCACAGTATGTGAATATGAGAATATTCAATTCGAACCAACAAATAGGTAAATAAAAACAAAAATAGTGGCAGAAATATTCAAAACTGTTGTAGCGTTTCTCAATAATTTCTCCATTGCTTAGTTCACGCAATAAACTTTTTTGGGATTCACAACAAATCACTGGAAAGTCATAGCAAAGTAATGTGGTTGCATTGTAAATGCTGTTATTGTCTGCTCATGATGTCCTCATCTAATCTCTTTAACGTACTGAACAGCATTCTATAATTACATCAGTTCTATTTTTAGCAACATTACATAATTGTGACAAATGCTATTAGACTCAAAAATAGTAAAAATCAAATTTCAAGCAGAAATGATGTCACTGACTTTGGTCGTTCAAATGCATTCTGTCATTGGCTGACGAGGGGAGTATTTACTGTCATGTTGAATGAAAACTTGACTTCCTTTGTGATGTATTTTGAAGTGAATTGAGCTGAATGTGTGGTTTATTTACAAAGAATAAACAATCTGCACATACATGTACACTGCACAGTAGGAATTGAGTTTAGAAATAGACATTGGCAATCATCAGACACTCGGCAGAGATTTGTCTATAAAAGACTGAATGTATTCAAAATACAGCAAATTGAAGTTGACTTTTTGAACACGATAATTTTTCCAGTCAAAATTTTGCTAATTTTTTTTTTATTTTTCTATACCTTCTTTGTTAATTTTTAAAATTTGAAAAAATGTGAAAAAAATAATCCATGTTGATTTTATGAAAAGCTACAAAAGATGTCTTTGGCTTGAAAGCGTCAGTGACATTTTACTTATACATGTACTTAAACAGCTTACATTATTTTAAAAACAAATTCTTTAGAAAAACATGCCTTAAAATATTGAGAAAATGTATACATAATTTGTTTATATGAAGCCCAACACAAAATGGCGTGCATGAACAATGCGAATGTGAGAGCTGACACACCAACAAGCAAAGGGGTGACAACATATTCAGCTTTAATGCAGCTGTCATTATATGTGGCATAGAAAATTAAATAAAAAAAAAAAAAAGAAAATCCTCTTAGCAAGGGCAACATGTGTTTATAAACAATAATAGCTTCACAAGAACATGTCAAAGCATTTAGAAAAGGTTTTACGCTCGAATTACTGGAACGTCGTTGAATTGTATCCTGGTGTTTTGCTATCAGTTTCAAATCATCCCACGCAACGTCTACAAATCAGACAAATCCAATGGCAGACTAACGCTTTCAGACATGTACCATATTGCCTCTAATACAAAGTCAAACACACCTCCAATAGAAGTACATGTGCTGTATTTTCTCTATTAGAAAGCACACCTCCAATACAAGTACATGTACTGTATTTCCTCTATTAGAAGCACACCTCCATTACAAGTACATGTGCTGTATTTCCTCAATTAGAAGCATGCCTCCAATACAAGTACATTTTTATACATGTACTGTATTTCCTCTATTAGAAGCACACCTTCAATGAAAGTACATGTACTGTATTTCCTCTATTAGAAGCACACTTCCAATGGAAGTACATGTACTGTATTTCCTCTATTAGAAGCACATCTCCAATACAAGTACATGTACTGTATTTCCTCTACTAGAAGCACACCTTCAATGAAAGTACATGTACTGTATTTCCTCTATTAGAAGCACACTTCCAATGGAAGTACATGTACTGTATTTCCTCTATTAGAAGCACATCTCCAATACAAGTACATGTACTGTATTTCCTCTATTAGAAGCACACCTCCAATGGAAGTACATGTACTGTATTTCCTCTATTAGAAGCACACCTCCAATAGAAGTACATGTACTGTATTTCCTCTATTAGAATCACACCTCCAATGGAAGTACATGTACTGTATTTCCTCTATTAGAAGCACACCTCCAATCGAAGTACATGCACTGTATTTCCTCTATTAGAAGCACACCTCCAATGGAAGTACATGTACTGTATTTCTTCTATTAGAACACACCTTCATAGAAGTAAAATAATTATGATTTAAAGCACATCTAATTTGAAACCAATATTTGTGACATTACCTTTTGTGCACAATGGACACTCTTCAACACTAAACATACACGTATAGCACCGTGCATGGCCGCAAGTATCGATCAGTTTACGTTTCTTTCCTTTATCAAATGGCAATTCACAGGCTGGACAGCAAGTACTATTTACCTCCATTATTAAAGCATCTGTAACACAAGAAAACATTTTATTTGAAATTAATTATTTCTATTCCTGGTGTGCATATTTTCCAATAGATGTTTTTCCGTCCACTGTGATATCAAACATATTGCATAAAAGATGTGGATTAAAAGTCTGCTGCAAAAATTTGAGGATATAATTTTTAATTTTTGTCATTGCTCAATGTTGAAATGCAGATTTTTGAGAGGGAAATTTTACATTTAGATATTCTTACTTCTTCAAAATTGAACATCACCAAATACGTATAGCACATTAAACCTGGAAATAATTTCATATGCATTTCATCCCATATGATGAAGTTATGACCTTTGTTTGTCCTTTTTTCATTCAATTTCATGTGGGATATCGCAATGAGCAGAAAATGGTCTATCATAACATGTAGATATAATTGTACAGTAAGCATGCCTTTGCATCTGTGCGTATTTGTGTTATATTAAAATATGCAAAATTTATATACATACAAGTAATTATTTTTAACATGGCTTCACTTTGATGCAAATTTGGTACATGATTTAAAATTATAACAGATGTGGTATATAGTGGTTCTAGTTCACCTTGTAAGGACTTTGTGATAAACAGTTCAAGACGCAAGATACAGTTATGGGTATTTACATAATTGGATGGTGAACTTCACGTAGCATATCAGTGGGGAGGCACCTTGTAACAATATCACAGCCCAAATATGGGTGTTTATGCACACATGAACGTCAAAGTTGAGAAGGCATCCAGTTTAAAGCCAACTTTTACAGAATTATCTTAGTATAACATGTATATGGTTACATGCAGGGATGAATACAAAGAGTATTTTTATTTGTCAATTAAACTCTTTGTGCACTGAGTCAAACTCTTTGGGCATCAAGGCAATTGCCTTTGATGCATCCATGAAGTTTGAACCCTACCATATATGTACTAGGGTTAGTAACAAAAAGTGACGCTGTCGAATGGTTTGCACATTTGTACAAACCTGTGAAGAATAATCCCTCAACAACGTTAGCAGAGCGTAGTAAAAAACTGCAGAAACGTACATACACCCTGCATTACTACGACTGTTTATAAAAATAACAAATTTGATTGAAGAGATAAAAGAACAGACAGAAAAAGAAACTTACTCAGAAATGCACCAAAATATGAATAGAATAATTCTGAAGCATAGTAATCCTCCATGGTACTAGAGACTGGTGTTGCTGCTACATCAAAACACAGCCAGTATGTGTACAATAAACAGATCAGCCCAGACTAGCGATCAATCATTGATGACCCACTGTTTAGTAATACTACATTTATGATACTATTTATAATAACTGCCATCGGGTGTAACAACCAATTATCATGCAAAATATAGACATCAATAAATTCATATTTTCGGATTTGTATTAAACGCGAACTAAAGTCGACAAATAAAGCATAATGAAATAATGGGTGGAAGTGAAAGTGGACGAACTATAAAAATTGAACCGAAATGACGTCAAATGTTATGTTCTTGGGAAAAGATAACATGAGTCACTGGAAACTCTAAGATCCTTGTCTGTAAAGTTGTGTAATTACCAATGAATCCTGGTAAGATACATCCTACAGACACATCAATGTATTTCATGTAAATATTTGAATGTTTTTTTCAGAATACACATTCAGCCATCAAGCATCATAAAACCACAGCCTCTTTGCACCATCTGATAATTACATGTACCACACAAAATAGTGTAGACTCGAGAGTGTGAGAATGCATTTAGACTACATGTACATCTCTATTGTGTTGACGGGGGAATGTCACTTAAAGCATCAAATGTATTCAGAACTACTGACATCAAAAAATTGTTTCAGTACTGAGCTGCATTTTCAGGACCATTTCTAAACTAATATTTTTAATATTGAAGGCAAATTGTTCTGTATCAAAGTTGGACTGAATGATAAACCAATTCAAATCATCCTTTTATAGTAATTTAAGAGAATAACGCAACATTACGACTACAATAATTGGGTTAAGATGGATGGTGTGACAATGACAGGCATTTGTAGAACTTGTGGACAGGTGTGAGTTACTATTAGGGGATATTCCAACAAAACTGAACAAATAAAGTGTGCCTTTAATTGGGGTCAAACAAAGGTCAGTAGGGAAATATAAAGCCTTGTTTGAGTAAAAGTCTAATAAACTAGGAATCTTGAGGCTCATAAAGAAAAGCGATGAAATCAACAAAAGCGTCAATCTTTTTGAAATGCTAGTTTTGTATCAATATACACAAAATAAGAAAAAAACAGTTTGAGATCTAGAAATTCCAAAAGTCATGAAATATAATTCACTCGGCAGATAGAAACATATATATACACCTTAGCAGATCACTGGCCATGATGTACATTGGATGGAGCGTTCCTAAATGTACAAGTGATAGTTAATACATTATTACTGTCTTGTCATATCAAAGAAATCTGTCATGTTTTATTCCAGTGATACAATCCTCGTCATAAATTGTAAGCAGTCTACCGACAATTGATCCCTGCTTGACTACGACAAACACCACCAATCGCCAATCAAAGAAATGTCACTGTGGGAAGACCCTAGACAAATAGTCGCCACCGAGTGATTGTACAATGTAGCTAACGACTTTTTCTTATTCATATTCTGGGTAATAACGCTGATAATGAAATGTCTCTCATGAGGTGTTGAATGGCAATTGACACTACGGCCGTGATTAACAACCTTCATTCAGTTGCCGAAAAAGTCAGCCACAAGCCACCTACTATTGTGAAGACGACACAGACCAGGCGTGCAATAATCCTAGCTATTGTCTGAAAGCAATTTTCTGCTACTGTAGGTTGAAGCGAAAGATACATTGTTTCCATTCTACCTGGATGGCCGTTAAAAAATAGCTGGTGACAATCATTGGATTGGGGGGGGTAGTAAAAGAAGTTTTTTCAACGTTACTGAGCGATCCACCCAACAAATAACACGAGTGTTAACAATCAGTGAAAATATACATTTATACACGTACTGTATTTACGCTTTGTAAATGCATACTATACACATCTATTTCAGTGTTTAATTTAGATCATGCTTTTACTTAATCAGCAAAATGAGTAGGAATATCCTTAGTTTTATCAACACAGTAACAGTCTTTACGCTGGAAACACCTAAAATTGCATCGCTGAGTTTGGAAACTATTTTTCGCTAAGCTGTAGAAAAGCTAAGATGTACGTTTTGAATTTTTTAACTTTGAACGTAATTTGACCAGTTTCCAATCCAAAAGGGCCACTAGGGGAAATCTGTAAGTCAATGTTTCCATGGAAACAAGGAGAGATATTTTCCGATATAATGATGAAATCATTCATCAAATTATTAATAATTTGTAGTGCTTTTTAATCTTCTCCATTTTTACGAGTTGGTCCCTCCGATGGATGCTCAATTTACAGCCATTATGTAATTTAAGCTTGAGGAAACACGTTTTGTCCATCAAGAATTTATTGCTAGAAAATTATGAGGTGCAAAGAATATAATTTCACACTCCAGTAGAAAGAAACAGACAATCTTAGGTGATCTTTTTGAAACGTCACAAAAGAAAGTCACAGAAATATCTTTTTTAGTGATGTCGCAAACCTATTACAAGATGTTTGAGTATAATTGTCAATGTTGATTTGTAATAATATACCTGAATGAGAGGCCATGTAACTACAATAAAGAATACGAAAAAATAATATGGGGTCAAAAAATGCCATTTTTGCCAGCATACTGTGTTTTTTTCATTGGTTTCTCTTTGTGAACTGTTTTTCATTTAACCTAACACATTTGACTGGTGACATGAAACATGATATACTGTATTTTCTAGATATTAGTAGCTTAAGTAAACTGCAGAGCAATTTCTATAGTCAAAATAAGGCATATTTTAGGGATTCAGTATCCAAAAAATATGATTTTTATGTATATATGTGTTTCTATTGGAGATGTGTTTTTAATAGAGCAATAAGATATACCAGATGGTCAGGTATTTTTTATAAAAGCAAATATTAATTTTACGTGTCTATTGTATGAAAGTTGTATAAAATACAAGTAAATGTATCAAGTACAAATGAACAAAAATACAAAGATTAAAATCATCACCACTTCAACAGTTATCTTGTCGGTATTCTTACGATTCCATACATCACAGTCACTCATGCAAATATGTAGAAGAGTATATAGATTGAGGACAAATCATTTAAAACAGGTGAACATCAAGAAAAACTCAACAGTGATTCCGTCATCCGGAAATCAACGTATTGATAAGTCTTGTAATGAAAGAGCTATTATATGAGGTCTGATTGAAATATGGTCGACGATAGAGCGTATCTAATGTCATACTGTTAATAGTATCCCGGTACACTACAATTTTCAAAGTCAGAGCAGGAAGGTGCATCTTTATGGTAACAGACTTTTGTTGAATCATGATTTTTCAAGCAATAAATTGACGCGAATTTGTATCACACAATTTTCTATTTTTCACAACTCAACAAAATCTGTAATTACTTACTGGTGTGCAGTACATTTATGTTTATAACTCACAGATATTCACAATAACTACTGTAAAATACTTTGCGCTTGGAATTAATTACGCTATTTTCACTGAAGAAATGGTTCAGTGAAAATAAAATCCAGCAAATATACCTTTTTTCCTATATTTTAAATTCAAGATGTCAAAAATCAGGAAAATAAATTCCATACAAAACATCCAAAAAATCTTTTCAGTGAAAATTAATTCCAGCTAAAATAAAGTATTTTATAGTATTCACAATTTGGTTCGTGGTGGATATTTAAAATAACAGAAAGTACCGAAACCTTGCAGATTTGGGAACAAATCAAATTGCATTGTATCAGGTAAAATCGAAAGCTAACTATCATACACAGGACAAATGCAGGAGAGGAAGGCGCCAAAAGTTGATCACATAGGCAGTCCCTCCAATCTTATAATGACAGTAAGTAGCCAGGACCAACTGATTGCAGATTAAATTTTGCTTGGAT